ACATGTAAAGCATAGGTGATATAAAGTTACATTTACTCTTTAAAGACATGTCAGTGTGAAGACTGACTATGCTTGTGGCCTACATACTTCTCAATATTAATAAAAGTTAAGATTCCTTATTTGAATCATTCAGTTTTACAAATCTTTAGTCAACAATGAAAACCATTCGCCTCCTAACATATTTCAACTGACTAACAAATGCAGGAATCACTGGAAAGCAGAATATATATACATATATATCTGGCTCACCCATGTGAGACGGTGTGACTTCATTTGGTAGCTGAATGCCTCGTCTGCTCAGCATTGGCCAGATCTGTTGCATGTCTGTCAACAGTAAGACTGCAATTATGTGCAACCTAGTAGCAGGTCTAATAACAGCTGTAATTCCTGAGGAGTGATGGATGTAATCATATTTTGAGGAATCTGCAACGACTGTAATGTGATATGAAAATATCTATGAATCCTACAGACGACAAAATCACAGGTTACTACTGTGGTGTGTTATCTGCATTCATAATAGAAAGAAATGCTAAATTTTAGTTCAGGTTAGGGAAAACATATACTCTTCCATCCAAATTCATACGATCCCCTGAACTTGGATCCATGGATCCCAGGTTAGGACACTTGCTCTGGAGTCTTTTTTTTTTTTTTTTTTTTAATATATTTTATTGATTTTTCACAGAGAGGAAGGGAGAGGGATAGAGAGTTAGAAACATCGATCCTCGATCAGCTGCCTCTTGCACACCCACTACTGAGGATGTGCCTGCAACCAAGGTACATGCCCTTGACCACAATCGAACCTGGGACCTTTCAGTCTGCATGCTGATGCTCTATCTACTGAGCCAAACTGGTTTTGGCTGGAGCCTTCTTGTCATGTCTGCAGCCCTCCAGGAGAAAGGGAAAGAGCACAGAGGAAGACTGCACAGGGGAAGTCTCTATGGGCCAAGCCCCAAATTGGCACACAGTTTCTGTTCACATCCCACTATGTCGCCCAGCAAGGGAGACTGGAAATAGAACCATGTCTCTGTGCTCAGGAGGAAGAGACAATGGATTGCACGCCCAGCTAGCAGTCTCTTCCATGGTCAGTGCAGGGTGTGTGGCCTTCCTGCCACTCAAATCACACGTGCTCCCCTTCCAAGGAGGTCAGAGCAAAGCCCACCCAGCTTCTGCCTCTGCTCAAGGTCCTGTCCTCCAGTGATGTGCAGTCTTTTCCATTAGATGGATGGCATTTCTTTCGGTCCAAACACTGAGGCATTGGGTCCCACTGTCCAACCTGCACACACCCAAAATATAGGATAATTGCAATAAAGATTTAGAAACACAGACAGTCATGATCCATCACAAGGACGGAGCCCTGCTGGGATGCCCGGCCTTGGCAATAGGGAGGTTAGCTCACAGGACTCTGTAACTTCTCTCTAGGAGGAACTTCCATGATCCCCCCTCTGCCCTCTGGGAAAATTTCCCTTGTCTGTTATCTCCTGTGGCCACACGTAAAGTGGTTATTGGGAAGATTCCCTTTTTTTTTTATTTTTTGAGGGGGTGGGTGGGTCTCTCTGCTTTTATAACCCACTATTGCTCGTGGAAGTGTGGCAGTCCAAGTGTTTTAAAGTTGTTTTTAGGCCATGGTTGTGATTTCCTTGTAATTTAATTTCTTCCTTCAAATAGATTTCCAATCTATTTGCTTCCCATTGGTTACATGTATCAGTAACCACATCCAAAGTTCCCTGGTTATGGCTCTTAAATTTGTTTGTTTTTTTCTGTGTCTTTGGCCCCTGCAGATCCCTATGTGTCAAACTAACAAAGCCATCTGTAGCCAAGGGCTGTTGGAGAGCCAACATCCTTAACCTGATCTCACAGCAGAGAGGAGTCCCTTTGTTTAACTGAAATGACTTCCCTGTCTTCGGTCTTTGGGACTCCAAGGTGTATTCAGTCTCATCATCTCCTCTGGGTGGGAGAGGGAGGTGGATGGGAGGGGGTCGGGGGGTAGGCGGGTTCAGAAATGGTTTCTTCAACCCTTAATCTCTATGTGCAAACAGTCCAGTGCTTTCCTGAGCTCATCTTTTCCTGGTGAAGTGAAGTGAATATCTGACAACAAACCTGCCCACCTGCCTCCCAGTCCCTCCCACTATGGCCACAGTCTTGGTAGGATACACAGGTACCTCTGGTATCAGTTTTACCAAATGCTTTTGTCCCAGGAAAGCAACTCTCCACCCCTTTGTATCTGCTTTCTTGCCTCCTACTCCTAGCCAGTGCCCCTTATTTTAGTTTTTATGATGACATCACCCCACTCCTAGAATCGATTTCTGTGTTAGCTAGAGCAGGTTTAGACGGCATAATAGGTAGACCCTAAAATTTCACTGGGTGCTTATTTTTAGCTCACATAACATGCCTGGGTGGGTTGTTGAGGGCAGAGCAGTTTTCCATGTGATTATTCAGGAACTGGCATTCTTTTTACCTCATGGCTCTGCAAACCCCTAGAATTTTGTTTTCATTGTCTCCATTCATCTTGGCAGACAGGAATGGAGAAGCATGCAGAGGAGGATTTGAATGGGCCAGGCCTGGAATGTCTGTTTCCATTAAAGGGAAACTAATCACTATGGACAAACTTTACTGGAAAGGAAGCTGGAAATCGTCATCTAATTGTGCCCAAGATTTTAGTAGACAGCAAGTAATCTCTGCCATGGTTATGTTCAACCCAGGCTTCTAGTGCCACCCAAGTTATCAGTCACATACGTGATGCTAAAAGACAGTTTCAGATATACAAAATCTCAAAAATGCATCTTCCAATGACTCTTTCTCAGAAAGCCACTAGAGTAGGGGTATCGAACTCAATGAGAGAAGGGGCCAAAATCTAAAATCCAGCCTAAATCGTGGGACGAATGGTTTACTGAACAGTCATAAACTGTCATTGTGATGGAAACACAGCGGAGTGCAGTGATGACAGCGCGGTGCGGGCCACATTGCAAGGCCTGGCGGGACGGATTTGGCCCTCGGGCCTTGTGTTTGACACATGTGCACTAGAGGAATTAAACAAGAAGGAGAAGGAGAAGGAGGAGGAGGAGGAGAAAAAGGAGGAGGAGGAGGAGGAGGAGGAGGAGGAGGAGGAGGAGGAGGAGGAGGAGGAGGAGGCATGTAATCCAGAAAACAAGAAATGACAATTGTATAGACCTAGGGAGCATTTAGTCCATATCAGAGCAGAAGTTTGGAGGGCTCAGAAAAGCTGATAAATTATAAAACAGTGTGATAGAGTAAAAAATTATAATAATACACATCTTGTAGAAAAATTGTTGAAGGATGGGGAAATTTTAGAATATCAACTAAAACAAAATGTTTTAAAATGAAATAGTTACAAAATTTAGGAAAATATTTTTGCTATAAAAGATAACTCAACACAAAACATTATTAGCTCGGCAGTGAGCAATCCCAGCATAACTATAAAATTGCAACCAATGATGACGGACACAACCAAAAATTGAGACGTAGTTAGGAGGGTTTGGAGAATGGATATCAGTGAACTAAACTCCTCAGAATGAGATTTATATTCATCAGGATGGACTAAGTTATTCCATAGTGATGACCCCAAAATCTAGTTGGCATAATATAACAGAAGTTTATGTCTTACAATACATTTCTCACCTGGGTTGCCAGTGTGAGAAATGGCTCACCTGTCCGAATTTCAAATGGCGAACTGGGAGACAGAAGCGTGGTGAAAATGAGACTTAATAACACTCTTGAGATCAGGTGTCCATTGTACGGCGCACACGGGGAGCAGGAAACATAGCCTATTTATCTAGTCCCTCCTCCGGTTCCTCATTGGCTGAGTACTATTTGGTCACCTGTTTCCTAATACGTAGCTTAGGTCTTACTGTCTCCCATTGGGCCATTTAAAATATTGGCTGAGACCTTTCTAGCTGTCTCCACCTTCCCTGTTTAGCTGAGGCAGATGCTACATCCACCAAATTGGCCCTCAGGAGCAGTTCTTTGTTCCTACATCCTCTTCCCTCCGCCTCCATGTTCTGCTAGCCCTGAGGAAATTCAGCAAATTCCTTCAGAAGCCAACGTGCGGGAGAGGGATCACAGAGGTACATTTCTGACACCAGTGGTCCTGCTCCATCCGGTCATTCAGGGACTCAGTGAGAGGTTCTGTGTCAACTTGAAGCTACACCATCCAGAGCATCTGTCATCTTCAGTCCCATGGTAGGGCAGAGAGAGTAGAGAAGCGTGTTTGAGTTTTTACTGTCTCAGGAGTGATACTCATCACTTCCTCTCACAGGTTCACTGGCCAGAAACAGTCACCATGTCCCAGTCTCACCAGCAGGAGGCTGAGAAGTACAGTCTTCCATGGGCTCTGAAGGGGAGAGGATTGGCAATGCTCACTGTTTACAAAACAAGCTAAGATGAATGAATCAAGACACAGCATGAGAACCATATTATTTTTAAATATGGAAGTGAATACCAGAACATGTTGAAAAGCCAGCAGACAAAGCAAAAAAGTTTGAGAGTGGTGGCTCCGGTGAGCCGGGCAGGTGGCCAGCACAAGGGGTGGAGCAGGGCGGGGCGCCGGAGGCTGCTGGGTTGTGTTGCAAGCTTTTTCAAATTGTTTGACTTTTTTAAACTCTCTGCATGCATTTTTTTTATTAAATTATATACAACTTTTTTTTTTGAGTTGGTTGAAAAACAAAGACTGGAGCCAGGAAGAGTGTCACAAACAGGCCCTCCATTACCCCATCCGGAATCCTAACGGAGGTCACTGTTGGACTCTGGGCAGTGGTTTGCAGAAATCCATCCTCCCCGGCTACTCCAAGGCTCCCGGGTGGGCCTGCTTCCCTGGGGCTGGCTCTCTACCAACGTTCACCTCCATTTCTCAGTCCAAAGGTTCTTCTCTGTGAAGACGAATACAAAATACCAGGTGAAAAGCTCTCACTCATTCTTATTTATCAGTAAAACCCCCTGGGTCTAAGGTTTTGCAACTTGTTCTGACAATTTCTTCTCTTTAACTTTCGTTCTGAAAACTTACATGAGGGATCTTCCCTAGGAGGAGTTTCTATTCCCCCCTTTTTGTCCTTGTGACACACTCTTCTTCATAAATGTGCTGTGGACACCAAGGCTTTCCGTGAGACTCCCTCTGCCATGCCCCCCGCCCTCACCACCACCACACAATGGCCTGATAGCATCTACGAGGTAACATTGCATCACACAGCACCCTTCATGACTTCCTTTTGTCTTCTTAGCTAAAGATCTCGGGCCCTTTCCATTCTGTCCCATCCCCTTTTCCATCCTGACCCTTCCCTGCCCCCACACTGCCCATGCTCCAGCCACACCCTCTACTGGCCCTTTCCAGGAACTTGGGGCTCTCTTCCTGGAATACCCTTCACCTGCTGGGTGCATCTCACTCAGATTAGGGAACCTTCCCAGATTCCTGGCAGAGATGGAGGAAGGGAAAGGATGGGTGGTGTGAGTTCAATACCCACTTAGTAATTCTAACACAGGGAACGTCACTCAGCTTCTCAGAGCTTCCATTTCTCAGCGGAAATGTTGGTCTGGTTTACCTTTAACATCTCCTTCAGGTCTATTACTAGCCATGCTCCCTATCTCCTCACCATGAAAACTACATTGAATTAAATCTTAGTTTTTAAGAGCATAGGTTTGGGAGCTAGAGCCAGTCAAACTAGGTTCAAATCCCAGGTCTACTCCTTACTAGCTGTGTGATCTCGAACAAATTACTAACCCTCTCCATGCCTTATTTTCTCACTATCTATTTAGCTTTTAAAATATATTTTTATTGATTTCTGAGAGGAAGGGAAAGGGAGAGAGAGAGAGAAGCACCAATGATGACAGAGAATCATTGATTGGCTATCTCCTCCTAGGAATTGAGCCCACAACTTGGGCATATGCTCTTAACCGAAACCAAATCCAGGACCCTTCAGTCCGCAGGCCGACGCTCTACCCACTGAGCCAAACTGGCTAGGGCCTCCCTATTTAATGGGAGATAATAATAGTGGTTTCCATAGGGTTGTGAGAATTAAATTATATGTAATTTATATACATATATATTAGAGCATATATGTTACATGTATGAACATATTGTGATACACAGGAAGTGCTCTCTAACAGCTCTAATAAGCCTTACTAATTATTATCATCAGTCTCCAACACCAAACTCGGCAATCTGAGGAACAGAGCCGCATCCCCTTCTCTTTAAATCCTCAATGCCTAAGCCTTTGCCCAGAGATGTATTAAAAACTCAATGTTTCCCCAAAGGAAGGACAAAATTGGATAAACTGCAACTGTATCCTTTGGATTAGGTTTCAAGAGCTTCGCCCAATGTCCTTGAACTGTCCCCCCTTTCCACCAAACATGCCTGGCTTTTCACTCAGCGTTGGAAGACTTGAGGGCAGAGATGAGGGGATTGTAGCTGGGAGGAATGGAGCTTGTCTTAAGCTTGTGCAGGCCCGTCCCTAGCCCTGAGACCTCCATAGGTATAATCATCTAGGAATTTAAGCAATGGAAGAAAATGTGTCTTGAAGAGCTGGGAATTGCTGAACAGCTAGTTTCCGGGAGACAAGATTCCAAGTATGCACCGCTCTGTGGGGAGACCCAGGGAGACTGGCCCTCCCTGCAATGTACAAAAGTCAGGCTGCACCTTTACTCCAGGCCACTGCCTGGAGATGGAGGAAGGCTCCCAGGCAGCCTGGCAAGCATTGCCCAGGCAGAGGTGGGAAAAGCTGCAGTTGCTAAGAGCCGTAGAAGTACAGGTCAGAACCAACGAGAATGGGAGTCCAGGGGGAGAGAGGAGGGCTGGGAATTGGTGAGAGAACGCAGGGAAGGCATGGGGGTAGGGGTGGAGAGGCAGGTCTCAGGAAAGGCTGGGGCTTAGGTGAGTAATCCCGGCTGAGACAGGCACCTCTGCCCATTGTATCTGCTGCAGGTTATTTAATCTAGAGCTACCAACGTGACTGCAATTTCATTGCTAATGTGCCAGTGTCTCGCAGTTCTGCATCTTAGCCTCGTTGCTGGGGCTCCGAAGGCCCTCCCCACCGCCTCCCACCCGATGTCCCCCTGCAGCCACTGGGGCAGAGCGTCTCATTTTGCTAGAATGTCACCCATTTATCAAAGGACAAGATTAGCACACCCCCCTCCACATTCGTCAGGCAGAGCCTTCCTCTTTCTAATTTCAATTTAGCAATGGCTTCCATCGTTCACCTACAGACATACCCTCCCCGGTCTCCCTCACTCCACGCTGCTCCCCCAGGTTTTCCCGCCGTTCTCTCCGATTCTCTCTTTCTCCGGGGCTATGAAGCTTACACCTTCTCCCATCTCCACATCTTTCTATGTGGACAGAAGAAATCCCTTTCCCCCCTCCTATCTGACGAGGGGTGGGCGTGCAGGGGCGGCAATGGTGAGTGAGGGCGGAGGGGCCGCTCTGCAGGACAAGGGAAGCCTGGGGGCCACTTCTGAAGGAACATCGGAAGGCAAGGAGGGAGAGGCAGGAGCTTTGAGCTCCAAGTCAAGGAACCTGGAGCCAGGACCTCATTCTGTCACTCACTCAACCTTTGACCTTGGGAAAGTCAACTTCTCTCTGGACCTCAGTTTCCCTGCCTGAAAAGAGAGGGGTGGGTACAATCAGGGGTTTGAGGACTCGGGAAACCCCAGGGGTCAGCCGGCCACCCAAATGAGTGGTGGTGGCCAATTGGGAGGTACATGTCCAACTAAAGGCATTCAAATGTTTGGCAATCCAGATTTCTCCATCAAAATAAGATCTGCTGGACAAACGAGGCCTCCGAAGAGTTCTCCAAGGTGCCCGTCCGCTGTAACATTCTGCCATCTGATCGTCTGCACAAACAGGACCCTCTTGCACATGCACTAAGTAGACAGGCATGAATTCAGGAAACAGGCCTCCCGCCCACCCCCTCCCACCCCCAGAGCACAACTGATCTACTGTCTGCAATTCCTTCGGGGGTGGGGTGGGGGGGGGGCAGGGGGAATGGCTGGTTAAACAATGTCCACACATTTACACCCCTCCCTTCAAAAGTTGAACCTAACTCCCTTCCCCTTGTGTGTAGGTTGGGCTTAGTTATTGTTTCTAACAAATAGAAAATGTTGGGTGTGATAGCATGGGACTTCTGAGACTAAGTCACAAAAGGCATCATAGCCTCCTCTTCCTTTTCTTCCTCCTCCTTCTCTTCTCTCTCTCTCTCTCTCTCTCTCTCTCTCTCTCTCTCTCTCTCTCTCTCTTCCCTCACTCTCTCTGGAGGAAGCCAGCTGTCATGTCATGAGGACAATGAGCAACCCTATGGAGAGGCCACGTGGTAAGAACGGAGACCCCTGCCAACGGCCTTGTGAGGAGCCATCCTGGAGTGGGCCCTCCAGCCCGGGGCAAGCCTTCAGATGACTGTAGCCCTGGCCGACAGCGTGACTGAGAGCTCATGAGACCTTCCACCACAATGAACCACTGAGTCAGTCACTCAAATCCCTGACCCACACAGATTGTGATGTAGTAACTATTTATTGTTTTAGACTGCTAAGTTTGGGAGTGATTCGTAGCATAGCAATAGATGAGAAATACTTTAAGAAACAAAGTCCCCACTCCACCGTGAGACATAAGACATAAATCCACACAGCCAGGGAGCAAAAGACCACCAGTGGGCACCAACGGTGAGGAAAAGAGAGGGAAAGTGTGCTACATGAGCTGAAGACAAGCTCTGCTGGCTTTGTAATTTGTTCTAACCCAACACTGGAATTATCAGAAGTTAATTATTAGAAATGAGGTGTTGAGCTGAATTATAAATTATCACCCAGCTCCACCTAACTTACACTGCCTGCTGGACCCCTTAACTCAGATGTCACCTCAACCTTAACCCATCCCAGTCTCAGCCATCTCTTACCATCTCCCTCCCCCAGCCCCCAGTCTCCATGTCTCAACCCTATAAACCAGGGCACCAACTATGTGTCTAGGGCCTACGGCAAAGAGTGAGCCACTTCAAGCTCCAACTTCACCACAAGCTGTAGATTTTACGTGAAATATTTTACCAGTTTAATAACAGCGAAGAAGACAGGGAGAGAAGTGGGTCTCTGAATTTTCAAGAATACTTCTATTTCTTCAAGGACATGCATATCTGTCTTCCCACATGTTCTGGTGGTCTACTACTATGTAACAAGCCACCCTAAGACTCTCGGATTTAAAACAACTCAATCCTTTATTTTGCTCATTAACCTAGAGTTTGCATGAGCCTCACAGGACAGCTCCTCTCTGCTTCAAACTATCTGGAGTCCCAGCTGGGAGGAGCCTTATGGCTGAAGGCTGGACAGCTGGAGGCTGGCCCCAAAGGTGTGCTGAAGCTGGCTGCAACAGCCATTTGTTAAATATTCAGAAAAGTTTTGCAAGCCATTTATTATGCCATTCGTAGCTTGACATTAGCCCTGGCGAGAGTAGTTACAACCAGAAATCAACAATCACTATAAACCAGGGTAGTTTTTTTTGTTTTGTTTTGTTTTTTGTTTTTGTTTTTTTAATGAGAGCAGGTTTCTCATACCACCACTGTTAGCCAGAGATCCACCCATCTCTTTCTCCTCACCATGGGGGCAGCTTGGACTCCCTCACAGCCTGGAAATCTCAGGATAATCAGGCTTCTTACAAGGATGGGTGGCTTCCTTCAGAGGGGCGTCCCAAAAGATCTAATCAGAAGCTACACAAGGCTGCCTATTCCCTAGCCTCACAAGTCCCAGAATGTCACCTCTCTCACACTATTGGTTATGCAAATCGCTTCTGCCAACCAGATTCAATGGAAGAGATTAGACTCACCTTTCTGTGGGAGGATGTAGCCATCTTTAGTCTCTGGCTACACAGTGAGGGAGACTTTGGGGTAGCAGAAGGCTACTGGACCAGACGTTGGAAGAATCAAGTCCAATCCCTACTTCTACATGTTTGCCTTCAGCAAGTCTTTTAATTTTCTTGAACCTCCTTTTCTTTGCATATTAAACTAAAAGGAGAGAGAGAGAGAGAGAGAGAGAGAGAGAGAGAGAGAGAGAGAGAGAGAGAGAAGAAGGAGCAGTTTTTCATTGGGAGCAAGTAAGATCATTTTACTCTTCATATAACATGGTGCCATCACAATTTAAGGCTTATTGCAATTGGTGGTTTTTGTTTTTTTTTCAAATATGTTCTTTAATGAGGATGACCACATAATTCATATTCAAACCAGGACACTTCGCAGAGTGACAGGGAGTGCTATTAAAAATTATGTAACTGATAGGCCCTGGCCGTGGTCAGAGCATCGGCCTGCACACCGGCAGATCTCTGGTTTGATTTCCAGCCAAGGGCATGTACCTGGGTTGCAGGTTCGATCCTGCCCTTGGTCGGGGTACATGTGGGAGGCAACCAATCCATGTGTCTCTGTCACATCAATGTTTGTTTGTTTCTCTACACCCCCTCTCTGCTCCTCCCTCCTCCCTCACACACTCTCTAAAAATCAATGGGAAAAAATATCCTCCCTCTTCGGGTGAGGATTAAAAAATAATAATAAATAAAATTATGTCACAGGTGGAATTAAAACTGCCCCCAGCAAAGCAGCTTGCAAGGTCACCCAGCAGTAATAAGTGAGCCAGTTTGCAGAGAAGAAACTGAGTGATGTGAAGGGACCACCTTTCCCAGTGGTGAGTTCCCTAGGTAGAAAATAAGGAAACATCCTGGGAAGAGTTTAGCAAGTCAGAGATCTGGCTGAAAGCCTTTAATGGGATAAAACAGACTATAGGTAGATATCTGAAGTAAAAATAAAATCCAGAGATCTCTTTTTGCCTCCACTTCAAATCCTTTCTCTATCCCCAGTGTCAAGCAAGCTCGGGTTTCCTCTTCAACTCCTTGTTCCCACCCCTGTCCATTCGTTTCTCCACTGCGTTCCCCTCTCCCAGAGAAGTCTATCAAGAATGTACCATTTCTCACCCACACAGGTGTGGCTCAGTGGATAGAGCATCAGCCTGTGGACTGAAAGGTCCCAGGTTCGATTCTGGTCAAGGGCATGTACCTTGGTTGCGGGCACAGCTTCAGTAGGGGTTGTGTAAGAGGCATCTGATCAATGATTCTCTCTCACTGATGTTTCTAACTCTCTGTCCCTCTCTCTTCCTCTCTGTAAAAAAAATCAATAAAATATATTAAAAAAAAGAATG